CATTTCTCCAATAGCTTTGTGTAGGTTTAACTGTGGTTTTCATCATATCATTATTGTCTCTATTTGTACATTATGTCAAATGTCATGTTCAACTATAATTTCTTGTAAATGAATAACCAGTGGAAAAACCCTTTACGTTCAGATTACAGCGCTGACAAATGAACGAGATAGTGAGGTTGTTGAATGTGATTTAAATTTAAATAAAGTATATGGATGAGCTGCGCCTTTAATGGATGGTTATAGATTAACAGCTTTCGGATATGGAGGATTTCATGGTCTCTTAGGTTGGAGTGCGTCTGAACAGGGTGCTTGTGTTCTGTGAATGATGTCTCTCACACTGAGGAATAAGAGCTCTGGAAAATATGAAAAGCCTCTTAAAGATCTACCTCCCAAAACACCAGTGACCCCAACCATTAATGCTGCGAAGAAACCAAATGAATAAATGACCCTCACACTTCGAGGTGGAAATCTGTCTTCAACAAGAGACTGGAATTGAATGCACAAGAGAGAACAACAGGTGGCAACATATGAATTTAACAACTGTTCGACATGAAGGATCATTTATATATAAGGTGTTATATAGGAGGTGTTTCCAAAAACATGTTGTCTTTCATGCACAAGTGTTAATGAATCATGATGGGAGTGTTCTTATCGTCCGACAGACGATATTTGAACCCAGTTAACATTTGTCTGCATCACTGTCACATCGAATGAAGACGCACAATGAAATTCAACACAACTCAGTGTCAGCTTGTGTCTTCATCCAATAACAGAAAAATAAACAAATGAAATCCAGAGACTGAAACAGACATTTTTACCCTCAAAGCTAAGTAAACAAATGTACAATTTCTGATTATAACGCCAGATTTACAATTATAAAGACTGAAGCACGATATTGAACAAGAAAATTCCAGAAACAGTTTGCTTTTAATTTGCAGGGCACCCATTGGCAATTTAATGGGTTTTGGGAAATGTCAGTTATACAAGTGTAAATCATTGTTGTTGTAAGTTCGTCATTTCGTAAACTTTCTCTACATTGACGATTGCAGCGACAACAACCCAAAACTTTGACGAAATACGAATTTCAGGCTACAAGTTGGATGGAACAAGTTGACCCTGAGTTGAGCTGAGTTCTATTATACATCTTCATTCTCAATTCATTCACATCTGTACATGAAAGACAAAGAAATTAAGCGGTACCCCCTAAGGTTAAATATTTCTATGTTCAAATGCAAATGAATTTTTACGTCATGCATGGAGTAATATTTATTATTTTCCTGATTGGTGAAAGTTGTGTCTCCACAGATCCACAGAGACGACTTTGTCACTGCCCATCTTCTTTCAATTAACTCAAACAATACAGGTTCGACTTTATTGTGTGTGTTTGTGTGTGATGTTCATACAATGATTCATATGAAGCATCATTGTTTGTCTATATAGGTGATATAAGACACATTGAAAGCTTGTGTGTGTATAAAAAATCACAGCACGATATTCATCATCTGAAGCTTTAAGGGGAAAGAGCTTCCCTCTGTATTGACAGAAGGTAATGGATGGAGGAAGTAGCAGAGAGCTCTTGTAGGATTTGAGTAATAGATGAAAAAGGTTTGATTAATGGAGCGTCGGTGCTGCGGCCGCTGACGTGATCTCCTGTCACCACCCAGTGGAGCACGTGCGTTGAGATCGGTGCATTTCAGCAGCAGCTTCACTCACAACGTTCAGCTTAGTCCATGAACAGCTCACATGATTAAATAATTGGCCTTGGAAGCAGCGCCTGTATGTAAAACTGTACATGAGCTGTATCTTACAGAGGAAACAAATTCTTATTCCTCACTATACCTCATTCAACGCACCTTGTGGATTATGTTTGTTTCATTACAGATCAAATGATGATGCTAACGCGACTACAGCCCGATTGATTTATACGTATAACGTTTCACACAAAGACATGAGGCAATATGGAAACTTTTATTTTACAGCTAAGATATGATAAAACTTAATTGATCCACACACTGGGGATCAGAATGAGGCAAACAAGAAAAATAAAAGAAATGGATTTGTATGTGTAATAAATCTATGTAGGTACATCTCAGAGTAATAGCACACTATGAAAGTGTGTACTTTATGAGTATATTTTAAAATGTAAAAATTCCCTACATTCTGAATTTGATGATTCCTGTAATGTGTGTATTTTTATGGGATGCACAGAATCATGTGATGTATTTCAATAGTTTTCCAGCCTGCGTTATGAAGTAAGTTATACTCGTGTGCAGCCCAACATTACCATCTAGTGGACATAAGATAATATTCACTGTTTCTGCAAATTTCTTTTTCTTTTTTTCAATCATGAGTTGATCTGTTTTCATCAACACAAATTCAAATAAATTCATGAATATGACCTGGATGACCCAGTTTTGTGAAATACATGAATTCAAAATCAGAAAGGAGAAAATCTAATTTCATATCATTCTGAAATATGCTGAAATTACTGAAAGTTTTTGATAAACTAAATTAAATTAGAGTAATTCCTTCTCTGCATCTGTTGACCTTTAGCAAAGTGCACGTGACTGACTCTAATGTTCAGTGTTTGTTGACACTGTCAGTGAGATGAAACCAGCCGAGGAAGTGGAGGTAAGACCCCTGAGAGGAGAATCCTCCCGTCAAGACGTTAATCCTGTTAGGCTTGTTTCTCTCTGTTGGGTTAAACATAGTTATTAACAAATCCTGAACCCAAACACAGACGTAATTTAATTTAAGTCTCACCACATATTTTACATAAATATCAAGATCACATAGTTGTTTCTTTTCTTTTCTTTGTTTTTTTTTTTATATACAACTTAATGAAAAGTCACATTTACTAAATCTGAAATAGATTTAACTCAGTTTAAACAGTGAGTTGTTCTTTTTAATCAATTTATCACCAGAACACAGATCATGTGATATTTAAGTGATAATGCACCTGCATCTTGATTGTTGATTACATCACAATTCTTTCCTCCAATGAAATGTTGTTGTACCGCTGCCATTTCTCAGCACTTCAACATGTAGTTTTTTTCTACTGCTCAGTTCATATGTTGCTGTAACGTGTTGGAGAAGAAAATACATCACACAGTCTGGCAAGATCTGAGAAGAGTTCACACAGTGGAACCCTTTGTTTCACTTCTCTATGATCTCCTGTAAAAATCGGTTCACATTTTGAAAACTCTTTGTGTCGTTAAAGTAATTTATCAGGATTTCTGACGAGGTCGTGTTGCGTCCTTAAGTTTGAGGAAATTGACCTGGAACGACTTCAGATTCAGATTCAAACTTTATTATGAGTTTATTCATTTCTGCCGTGTATCACATTCATGTAAGGTGAATAAATACAGAAAACATATAACCTAGCAGCAACGATCAAACATCAACATGCCAGTGACAACAAGTGATCAACGGACATTGTGATTTCAAGGTTGACTTATTATTCCCTCTGCTTTCTGAACTTTAAGATATCCAGCTAAGTTACTGGATGATAAACATCTACTAAATTTGGATGATGGATAATTAAGTAAAATTAAACATTAACCAACAAGCGACCTCATAAAGTTGTTGGACACTCGGGGTTAACTTGGACACCTTGAGGGATCCACTCACTCTACTACTTCTGAGGGATTTGTGCCTATGTCAGCAGAGCTTTCACAATCTGATTAAAAGAGATTGATACACCAATTCTAAATTAGCGTGACCTAGAGCGTCTTAGTCCGTTAGCTTCTCGGTTCTGGAGAGACAAACAACAGTGAGACTGATTAGGGACAGCAGAGGACTTTCATGTGTCTGAATGAGAGAGCTCTAAAACTGGGCTTAAATTAAAACGTCAACACCATCTACTCAGGCTGATGACTCGCTGCCCTACACGTATTTGAAGTTGCAGTCAATTAACAGGATGAAAACTTTTCTTCTGTATAAGAGTCATTGCGTCAGCATGCAGGCTTGATTGACAGGCCTGTTTTGAGCTAAATGCTAATGTTAGCATGCTGGTGTGGACCTGTGCCTGTTCAGCACGTTAGGAATCAATTAGTTCAAAACACAGTGCAGCTTGAGGCTAATGGGAATATTTAGAGTTCGAATAATCTAACTTTTTTTTATGAAGATCACAAAATTTACAAAACTAAGATTGCCCTGGATGATGATAAGAAAAAAATGACAGGAGATTATGTTGATGTATATTCAAAAGATGATCTTATTCATTCACACGTACATGAAAGATAAACAGCAAGACTCCGAGGGCTCTTTGGTTTTCTAGTGTTTGATGCGCCCTTGTTACCCCCGCCGAGGTTATGATTTCTTCTGTGTTTGTCTGTTATTCAGCAGGATTGTGCAAAAAGGAACGGGCGAAGTCCAGATATGTTAAATTCCTCTTAGTAGTGTTGAGGGTTTTCTGATCGGTGTGAATGTATTGACAGGTTTTTTTTCCTAATCTCATTAACAACCACGTCTCCAGAAACAACAAGCAGCAATTTCAGACAACTAACCCACGTCATCAGACCAAGTCTATAAAATTCAAATTTAGTAACGAGCTGGTTAAGGAATGTGGAATATCTCACAGTTCAGGAGTCAGACATTTGTATTTCGAGTTGGTGGGAAGCAACAGCTATAAGAAAACTCAGGTTTGGATATAATTAATTCCTGATTTACTGCTTTTAAATTACCTTTGAATTTATTTTACATTCCACTCTACTGGACCTTTTGCTTGAATAACACCTTCCACTCCTCTGTGTTTGGCTGAAAACCACATTTAGCTGCAAACCTGATTAACTCAGCAAAGGAAACCCCACCAACGTAATACTATAGTAATCCCGAAGCCACACTAATCACCTGACTTTAAAGTAAACTGGAGCTTTGGGATTCCACGCGGTTATACAACGAAACCCTAAGACGGAGATGCCCACTCCGAGTCCGGCCACTCCGCTGAGTATAAACCCGCACGGCTGCCGGACTATGGACGGTTGAATAACACGTCAGCCATGGGGCAGACACAGCAAACAGAGAACAGTGAGGAGATCGACGTCAAAGCACTTCAGGACATGTATAAAAAGTTTGTCATGGAGTGCCCGAGCGGACTTCTTTTCCTGCACGAGTTCAAGCGCTTCTTTGGCGTGGACCCAACGGGAGAGGCGTCCGACTATGCAGAAAACATGTTTCGAGCCTTTGACAGAAACGGGGTGAGACAGTAAAAGCTTTTACATCCTGGTTCACTGTACAACACCTTTACTTTAAACTGTGACCCAGTTGTTCTCGTCTCATTGATTTATTTTTATTCAGGACAACACCATCGATTTCCTTGAGTTTGTGGCAGCTCTCAATCTCGTTTTCCGAGGCGACCTGGAGCATAAACTGCGTTGGTCGTTCAAGGTGTATGACAAAGACAGCAATGGCTACGTGGACAGGGATGAGCTGCGGTCAATAATTGGTGTAAGTTACTCAACTAAAAGTATTTTTGGTGATGTTGCATTCAGCTAAGATACTGTGTTTGAGAAATTAGATTTTCCGCTCACTGTCACCCTCTGTGCCAAAACCACATCACAGTACTTTCTTTTTTGTTGCATTTTTTATATATTTGTTAAAATTTCATCCTTGAATAAATGTATCATGATCTAGTTCTATGCCTATTGCCCTTTTCATTTATACTTCAGTTGTTCCAGTTTTTAAGCCAAAGAATATAAAGCCAGGAGAAAACGAATAGGAAGTCTATAGGAATAAAATATTCATGTAATATTTTTGGTACGTAGTAAGTATATTTCTTTGTGAGTCATACAATGATTTGTATGCGCACAGAGCTTTAAGGGCGACGTCTTCATACTGAAGTGGGCAAATTAACTTATTGAGTTGGTATTCACTGTAGCTGCACTCTCATCAGTGTAGCTAGATGCAGATCTGACAGCAAATGTGAAAATGTGCCTTCTGATAGAGCAGCTTTCTCAAGTTCATGTTTATTTGCAGTATTTTTTCACTGGATTTAGAATCCTCACTTTCATTGAGATAAAACATGATAGTTAAAAAACATGTGAATAAAACAAATGTAAAATAGATAAGTATGTGTATTAAGAATGGGGAATAGTTTTTCATTTGAATTCAATCAGTATTAACAGTGGAATCTATCAAAAAGAGCAGTGCTTCAAATGGTCAAATAAATTCAGGATTTATGGGAGAGCGAGATCAACAGTTCACAATCATCAGTTTTCCAATTACATTGCTGCTATAAATCAATCATCAGTCACTGAGTGTGTCCAGAATTATCACAAACATTGTTTGAGTTTACAAGAAACACAACATGTCCCTTTCTGTTTTATATCTAGAGCATTTACAGGATTAAAAAAGGCTCAAGGACGGACATGAGCGGTCCACAGCCCTCCGTGGACGAGGCTGTGGATCGACTGTTGCAGGCAGTCGACAGTGACGGAGATGGTGAGCATTTATGTCACACGTCACAATTACACAGGAAACAACAAAAGACAAATCAAATATCTTGTTGTATCAGCAGAGAACATCAACCCTGCTTTCAATTTCTTTTTCTTTGTCTTGGGACAGGTCATATTAACATGGAGGAGTTCATCAGAGGTGCACAGCAGGACCCCTGGGTGCTCAACATGTTGAAGTTGGACATGAACCCAGCTGGATGGGTGATGGAGCAGAGGAGACGGAGCGCACACTTCTGAAATGTCAACATGGATTTGCCTTCCCAATGTGCACAGAAGAAGAATAAGCCTTATATTATATCTATGAAATGTATTAAACTCACTAAACTTACTCACAAGTAAAATCAGGAGTCATCTTCAAAACCATGTGTGAAAGATGGTTTTCCAGAGCCGGCCAACGTTTGAGGTTCGGGCCAATCAACAATTGCACCTTGAATCTCAGTACTATGAACAGGGAGAAATATAAATCAACTACCTCTTCTATCTACTATGATATTTGTTGCTTCAGTTTCTTCCGGTAATTTATACACACTGTTCACTAACTTAAGTCACAGCTCCTCCTCTTATTTTAAGAAATGTCATTTTGTAAATTGTGAATTATTATAATGTCTGCTTTTCTATTTTTTTGCTTTGAGCCTTTTCACTGTGAATAATGAGCAACGCCCATTTATTTAAGCTCATGTAATGTTAGTGATGCTAAAGGCTTGTTGTCAATTGAGGTTCAATAAATAACAACATGAAAAGTTTTGATCTGTTTCACATGCGTATGAACATCAGTTTTTTTTAGACCTGACATCCAGGCCCAGTTCTTGTTTTGTATCATGTTCAGGCATTGACTTATGGCTTCTTTTACTCAAGCATGACACCGAACATAAATTATAATCTATAAATATAAGTTTAAACATCAGATTTGTGTTATAACTAAAAGTTAACTTTCCTCTTTGGAAGTTTCTATGAGACCCAGAGTTGAGTCTGGGGGCCAAATAAAGTAGGGAGCAACTTCATGGAGGGTTATGACCCATTAGGAGGTTTCTTTGTTTCTTTATTTTTGGGCTGAGGTGTGGAGGGAGGCCGCAACGACAACCTAACACTCCACATCGGGTTTAGAGAAAGTCCCAAATTAATTTAAAAGTACCTTATAGGTTTAATATGCCCCTTTCTTTCAAGGGGAGCTCAGTTTCGGTGATTGCAATACAACTATTAAATTGTTAACGTCTGCTCCGTTAATCTCTCAGTCTCCCCAATGCATTTTATATTGGCCATAAATACTTCTGCTTAAAGCATAATCCATCTCCAGAAACCTCCTTCCTTCACAATAAAAGACTCTGTCGGGGATTCTTGGAGGTAGAGAGGGAGGGCCCTGCTCTGACAGCATTTGCTAGATGATTTTACTCCAGGGGAGTAGTAGTGGCAGGGGGCAGTGTGCAAGAAGGAGCATAATCCTCTATGAGTTCAAGATGGAAGCATACCCAGAGATTTCATTCGGTTGCAACAGAGAAGTTAAAATCAAGGTTGTCAGAGGAGTTATCTGGCAACTTTACCATCTGTAGTGAAAAGGAGCGGTAATTCCAGTAAGTAGTATTAAGCGTATCAGTGACACTGGGTCATCAGAGGTTCAAGATAGGATCAGGATTATTGTTTTAAACTTGGCCCCAAACTGTCGAGGCCTCGGGCTAAAAATAAGCCTCTTGGTTGGGGTCAAGGATCACATGAATGAGTTATTATGCTCAACTCTGTTCTAGACCACAGAGCTGTTGAAGAGACCTTCGACAGCAGCCATGAAGCGGACGCTGAAGAATTCACTGCAAGGAGTTTTCAGGATATTACTCTACTGAAGAATCTGCTTTTATTTTTTACACAAATAAAGAAATTTGTAGTTTTCCCTGCAGTGGCAGAGTTTGGATACAGCATGGGTCAGAATCAGCAGATACAAATGCAGGAGAAAGAGCTGGAGTTAGACAGCATCCAGGACCTCTACAAGTCATTCATCATGGAGTGTCCGAGTGGATCATTGTACCTGCACGAGTTCAAGAGGATGTTTGGAGTACAGCATGGTACTCCTGAATCCCAGTACATGGACAACATCTTCCGAGCATTTGACATGAATCATGTGAGTCACAAAGCTGCTTTTGAAGTAAAATCCTCTTCAAAAAAAGGCTCAAGCTAACAAATCTCCTCTGGTTATCTAACCAAGTAAATGTTTGGTGTTTCCCCTGTTTTTTCAGGACAACACGATGGATTTCATCGAGTACGTGGCCGCACTTCATCTTGTCCTGCGTGGAAGACTTGAAGACAAGCTGCGATGGTCTTTCAAGGTGTTCGACAGCGATGACAACGGTCGTCTAGACAGAAGCGAAATACACAAGATTGTAAAGGTCAGAAGTTTTGACAAAAGCAGTCAGTCACATCCATTAAACCCCCCCCCCCCCTGTCCGTTGGATGGTTGTTGGTTTTTAGTTGTTTTTCAAAAGACCATCTTTACATTTTTATTTTATCTTATTAACTGTGTTTTAAAGTATCAGATCCAGCTGTAATATAATGTTCTACTGTTCATCAATGTTTGGTGTTGAGTGGTTAGCAGCTGATCCTCTTGGGACCAAAGGAGTTTGATGATCGGTCGTCATATAATATGTGTTGAGATATTTCAGACCAAAGTGGTAGAATTGGGGTATGAGATGATGGACAAAGACAAAGTCTTATTGCTGGATTTTTCTTTCAGATAATCTACAAGATAAAGAAAGGCTCTGTGTCTGACGAAATGGGAAAAGAAAAACTCAGTGCGGAGGAGGCGTGTGATCTCATCTTTCGAGAGGTCGATATGGACAATGACGGTGAGTTGATTGCACACTTAAAATCAGCAATATCGCTAAAAACAAAACTAAAAAAAAAAAGGTTTCCAATGCTATTTGACTCAAAGCTCCTCTGTTCGTGCCGCAGGTGAAATTACACTGGAGGAGTTTGTGGAAGGATCTCAGAGAAGTCCGTGGCTGCAGAGCTTCCTACATCTCGACGTCAATCCTTGTGGATGGGTCCAGAGGTACTTGTCCGACAGGAAACTCATGAGTGCCAAGGATTCCTGAAGGAGTTCAGTATATTCAGACCAGCCTGCACGATGGAAAGGAGCCTCAATGTGAACTTTCTGGGAAAATCAAAAATACTTTGATGGGCGGTGTGAGACAAGACTCCTCCTGTCTTCACTGTGCTACAGTGCAAACCAGCTTTACAGTGAATATAAGTGAATTATTTAGTGTGTTCACGTTCTGGACCTGGAGACGATGAACATGTTGACATTCAGGAAAACAATCTTCTTTTTTTCAGAAATGTGTTTTATGACACAGGGAATAAAAATATAATCTGTGGACTCACCGATTATAACTTCATGAACTATTTTATAAATCGTGATTAAATGTGTGTTCAGTTGTTTTTACATGATTTTAAACTTGCATATAGCAGCCAACAGCTTTCTGTATAAAGATACACTGGAGTAATGGCGTCCTGAGCAAAGTGACAACCCACCATGACGACATTGGTTTTGGAACCTCAGGTTTCTTGGTTATCTGAAACCAGAAGTCACCATATTTGGAGGAGCAGGGGGTGGAGCTGACTGAGAGCTCGAGGACAGTGCACGCCCCTGCACCTACAACCTGCACCCATTGGATGGTACTAGCTGTCACTCACATGGTATCCCTGCCCCACTGCACACAGTGCTTCATCTTCTATATATAGAATATTTATAAACTTGAAACTAGTATAAACGGATCATTTCCTAATAGAAACTGATTAACTTTTGCAACCAGTGGAGTCGCCCCCACCTGGTCATTCGAGAAAATACAGGCTTCAGGCACTTGGGTTGTAGACCTGGAGTCTATGCTAATTTTTGTATGGAGTCTAATTTCTGGCAGAAGCTGAAATCACACTCCCTCTGAATGTGTGTGTTGATCTACAGACAGTCACGTCAAAAATCTCTTTCACACAGTTCATTCATTTATTAGTTGTGTTTCGTGTTGTGTTTCTGAGCCACTTTTATTTCCCTTTACGACAACTTGTTGTGTGAGGGGAAGGGAAGTTGTGAGTAATGTAAGAAACTTGGGTTTGCCGATAAAGATACTCTGTTAATTCTCATGTCTATCGTAGTTTACCTCATAAGCAAAAATGTTACAATAAATAAAATTCCCTTTAAACAGAAATATGTGACACCTGGTCCCAGAATTATCTTTGATTTTTCATTGTCACTCACTGTATTTAAAGGTCCAGTGTGTAAGATTTAGGTAAGAAGGGAACTATTGGCATTTAATGTAGAATAATCCTCATGATGTTTCCACTAGTTTGTTTCATCTAAATTGTATGAATTGTAGTTTTCTTAACCACAGAAAAGGCCCTTCATATTAAAATACTTTATATTTACATGGAGGGGACCCTCTCTGCTGAGGCCGTCGTGTTTTTTACATTAGTCCAGACCGGACAAACTAAACACCTTTGGAGTTTTTATGACAATTAAAGGCTTCCACAGTTTATTTTTCATGTTTGGAGAGAGAGGGTGAGGTGAGGGGTGATCAGCTGCAACATGCAATGTCTACACAAGACATCCCTAAATTCTACACACTGTTCCTTTAAGCACCGGTCAGACAATACAGATTAATAATTGCAGCACAAGTCACAAAAAGAGCTGCAAGTAGATTGAGAAAAGCAATGATGCTAATACCCTGATAGAAATAGATTTAACAGGCTCATGCCAGAGTGAATATCAATGTGCCTGATTAATTAATTCATTCATTAATCCAGATAATTGGGCTGAGCAGCGTGGATTATAGATGTGATATCTTTTTTTTGTGTTAAAAAAGTGAAACGTGAATTAAAAATTGCTCAACATTTTAAATCAACCACACGTTTTATAATTAGTAGCACAGTGGAAGTGTATTATCCCAGAGGTACTAGAAGCCCCAGTCTGAAGCACTACATTTAAAGAAACATGTTCTTATGAATCAGTAACATCACAGAATCCTGTTTTTCTATAAACAACAGTGTTGTTCTGTGAAAAGTAAACTAGCGCCCTCTGTTGGAATTTCTCTAACATTACTCCCTAATAGTCCCAGGTCTAATGACATGTCAACAGACTGTCTCCACTGTGTGTGTGTGTGTGTGTTTTCTTTGGTTATCAGAGTAAAGACAAATCAAAGCGTTTATTTATTCCAAACACATTTTCTCTCTGGATTAAACCACTTAAAGTTTGTGGATCTGCAGGAAAATCAACTGTTACATTCACACTAGTTATTTAAATGTGAGAAAGAGAGTGGGTCACATTCCTCACATTAATCCAGTTTGATACTGACTGAAATCCACCTCTCTTTTTCTTAGCCTCTGATTTTCATCCACTTAAAGCTGTTCTGTGGGAGCTGCTGCTGCTGCATTCAGAGTCTCATCGTAAACTCCAGCTACAGCAATGCGAGCAATGGGCTGTATGTTTAAATAATAATATCATTGCTTTAATGTTTTTTTAATAAACTAGCAAACAAACAAACATACACCTAAAAGAATACGCCTCTTAATATTCACTGTCAAAGCTATTTTGTCTGATGTGTAAATGATGGCCGACCAAACAGACCCACTCCAGATGTTTGCAGAATATTTCAAACTCCACAATTTGAACTAAAACAATCAATCAAAAGGAAAATCATCTGCTCTCATTGCAAATGGGATTTAAAGGTTTACATTGGGTTTTGTTTGCTCAACGCAAGTCTTATTTTTATAGTCAGGGATATTTTTAGTCTGTCACTATTTGGCCAAAAACTTTTTTTTTTTTAAACACTGTTTACGTCATGTATGAGGCTCAAAAGTTTTTTTCAAATGTGACTGAAACCAAAATATCCCCCCCCACACACCAAAAATAAAACCAGATACGTTCTTATTTCCTACACGAAAACATCAGGTGGAGGCTCCACTCAGGCACTTACAAAGACAACCTGACCCTGTGCTCGGGTCCTTTGGTTCCATGTCAGGAAGCAACTCCATGGGTAAGTACAATAAACTTCAGGAAATTAAGAAATGTATTCCTGTAACTTACACATGATGTGTTAGTGGTTAACAAAGCTCAGGGGATCAGCAACAAACTCTTCTGATTATCTTAATGTTATTTGACCTATTGTCAGAATATCCCAGTTTGAGTGGCAACGAACATCAAGGTGCATCACCTCCACCTACTGTGATGAGTGGGAATCAGAGTTATCTAGCTCATAAATTCTTTTGTCCAATCCAGTCTCTTTCAGATAATGGTGCATACATACTACCTATTCCAAATACTATTTTGAAGTTTTTCCATTCTCACTGTCTAACATACTGAATCCTCTATTTGGCAGTAATCGTACAATCCAACTCTGACTTGAAACCTCACCGTGTTTCTTTAAATAATCTCTCAAAACGTACTTTTACTCAACGTCTTTGACTTGATCGGTTTAGTTTCAACTCGTGTTCCTTCTATTTTTCCTCTGCCGTTAAATGCTCTTGAATTTTCTGCTGTTTTTCTTCTTCCTCTTTGTTCGGTTTATTGGTGTTAACCAACGTCAAGGTGCAATACCACCATCCACTTGTGTTTCAATATCCTACTTCTACTTCTTCCCCGCTCAGTCCATCGGCGGGTGACTACCTGCTAATTCCTACGTCTTCTTCTGCTTGATTTGTTGGCGGGTGGCCACCTCCTCTTCCCTGCTCGGCCTGAACTGTTTTTAGAGATTCTTCTTCTTCTTCTTCTTCCACAGGTCTAATGGTCGGTCATTTTCCGTTGTCTCTGATCTTTTTTCATTATGCTTCGGGATACTTTTTGCTTCAGACACTTTGCTTCAGCTTCATCTAATGTATTATTTTTGCTTGTTGTCTTAGATTATTTCTTTAGAAACGGTGGTTTTCTAAGTACTTTTTTATTTATTATAATGAATAAATGACACACAGCTTTTAAAAACAGAACAGTCCCTTAATCACCAGCTCAGTTGGTTTGCCCGCGCCTGCACAGTTCAGCTGAGTTGTGACTTTCCCCACAGCCCTCAAAGGCAGCGCAGCATCGCAGCAGCAGCAGCAGCGGACCTTCAGGTGTCTGAACCGGGGAAGCTGCAAACTGCACATCGGAGCCAATGGAGGATTGATACCGAGGCGGCATGGCGGACAGAGACAAACGGAAAGCCAGCCCTCCGTCCGGCCGCGGCGTCCAGGTGAACTCCCCGGCCAGCTTCAGGTAAGAGAGAGGAGGAGGTGGAGGAGGAGGGAGCCCCGGTGGAGGAGGCCCTGCGGGGCTCGGGCTGCTGACGGCCGGCTGCGTGAGCTGCTGGGAGCCGCTGCAGCTGCGGTTTGGCTCCGCTCAGCTCTGCGGGGAGGGTTGCTCGTGTTTGGGCGTGTCTGCTCCCCAGGGACCGAGAGGAACCGTGTGCACCTCCAGAGCATCCGCTGGACACATGCAGTTTAAAATGCGACGCGTACTTTTTGGCTGATCATGCACCGACCAGCAGAGCTTGCAGGGCGGCTGTGTGACTTCCAGTGTGGCCTTAATATGTCCCATCACATTTGACATCACATGATGTTTTCCTCCTGTGACCATCATGAGCTTGTTTTCTTATAAATATACAGTTTCAGTTGTTTTAATATCCACATACTTCTGCACATTAGTGATTTAATGAACTGACATATTCATCTCCAGTCACTGTATTGTTGAGTTAACATGAGTATTAACATCCTATAAAGTTTAAACCTTTGTAATATAGTATTGTTATATATTATTATTCCATATTACTAATAAGGGGTGGGACGAAACATCAATACAGCAATATATAATCGTCCTGACTCATAAGATGCAAATATCAATACACTGGAGCCAAAAGATTGATTTACTTATTTAGTTTGTATAGTTTGCACTTTTGCAAGTTTATATATAAGTGAATGAATACAGCAATCCTGCACTTTACCTCCTCAGTGATATTTTTATTCTTCAGTTACATCTTATTTATAAGATATTCTTCTATTATACAGATTATCGCAGAATCACGTTGTCGTGATATTATTGTAATCGCAGGCCATGTATCTCGTATCATATCGTCTTCGATAAAGGTTATAGATTGGTATAAAAGAGAAAATTCATAAAATTATAACAGTATAAGTAAAGTTAATAAATGCATTATAGACTTTTGAAACTGCGGATAAAGGTAGTTATAGTTTTTTTAGTCTTTGCGGTTTTAAACCTGAACGTGTCACAGCTACCATTTTACAGCTTTGTTTCTCATTTCATTTGTTTTAATTGAAGAAAATGAACTGTCTACTTGTCTGATACAGAAATTGCTTTGCTTGTATAATTAAGTGGGAAAAAAAGTTCATATTCTGGCCACGGATTAGTCAAGTTTGAAATACAATAATTATTCATTGTTGGGAATGCTGGTGGATTGTCGCTGAGTTTTTTTTTGGCCCAGATTAAATCCCTCTTGGTTCTCGGACTGAAATAAATAAGTTTGAAGATTCACTTCAGGCTCTGGGAAGTTGAGATTATAAATTTAGCCTTAATAATTCATTAGTAATGAATTGCATGAAAGCACAATTGATTGTGGATGTTAGTTGATGATGATAGTGTTGCAGAGAGAGAGAGAGAGAGAGAGAGAGAGAGAGACCCTTATAATAGTGCCTGAGGAGAGGCTGTGATTGTTCAGTGGTGTTTGTAGATCAATGATCAATATACAGTGAGACAACCATCCTCCCTCAGATCATCAGTTTGATTCATGTGACACAAAAATATATAAATAAGCCTTAAAAGGAAAAGTGCCTCGGAGTTACACAAACATCAAATCATCAGGGACACAGAAACGGTTTCAGCAGCCCAACGAATAAAGATGCTCCAAACTGAAGAGTTGTATCATCACCCAAATTCAAAAAGACAAAACACGAAACCGTAAATCTGGAGCTATTTAATCTGTCATTCATAATTCATGTCAAACTCCTCATGTAGGTGGATGTGTAATGTACGTGGTGATAAAAGAAATTAAGATTGATTTAAAAATCGATTGCAGATATCAACCGTTTGAATTGATGAATTAAAAAGAGAATGTATTCTTTGCTTTAGATCAGTGCTTCAAACTCCAGCTTGTTTTTCTCATCACAGCTGAACTGTATTCATTGATGGTTGTAGTTGACTCGAGAGAGGAAGCCTGATAATCCACTTGGGTTTGGCGCAGGCCCAGAGCGGCCATATGTTGGCTTGATTTCCTCCGTCACCTCCTTTTGCCTGTGGTCAAATCCTCCGTCTCTCTTCAACCTGCTGCTGTTGGAGAACAGACGAGTGTGGAGAGATTCACCGACTCGAGATGCACGAGCAGCGGATGTGACCCACTTATGAGGAATCTAAAATTTTCATCGCTCGTCAATTGGGATTGTGTCAAGTTGGCGTTTACAAGATAAAACACTTTGAACATAAGGTTTCACAGAACAGATTTAGTTTTGTTATATTATTATTATTATTATTATTATAAGCACAGACTTAGAAGGTGAACCCAGGAGTCTTTCAGAAAATAAAAATACCTAAAATACATCAGACACATTTCTGACGTGCTTTAAGATGAACGCATCAGTGCGTAATGAAAATGAAAGTATAGTGTGTCCATGATCTCATTTCTTTCTCTAAGTCACTGACTTACCCTCTAATTTTTCTTTCACCCCTTCACTGCTGCGACTGAACTGACTCAGCTGACGAGATCTGCTCAGGCAGACGGATTCCCAGGCTGTGGGATGTGACGGGGATGAGAGAGAAAGGGGTGAGGGTGGTGAGAGAAACAGAGGGAGGTTAAGGAGAATTATTCAAGTGTCGGTTTCTCTGATCAGCTCACATCCATCCGTTATTGACTTTGACGTTTTCTTGAGGAAAAAGTAAAAGGTTTTCAACAGGATGAGCTTTTTTTGTGTTCAGAGAAAGGAGAGAATCAGGCTGATTTGAATTTCAGAAGCTGACACAGTGGACAGTCACTGCTCCGGTTGCCGTCGTCGACCCCCCCTTGCTGGTGATTTACTGCTGTAGCACGATTTTGCTGACAAGGCACGTTCCATCTTTTGGCACCTCCCCTCTGCTTATACAGTGAGATCTCTCTCTCCTTCTCTCACTCTTTGTCTCTCTCTCTCTCTCTCTCTCCTTCTCTCACTTTCTCTGTCTCTCTCTCTCTCTCTATCTCTCTCTCTTTGTCTCTCTCTCTCTCTCTCTCTCCTTCTCTCACTCTTTATCTGCCTCTCTCTCTCTCTCCATATCTCTCTCTTTGTCTCTGTGTGTGTGTGTGTGTCTCTCTCTCTCTCTCTTTATTATATATATATATATATATATATATATATATATATATATCTCAGTCTCTCTCTCTTACAAATCGTACTGCTTTGCCAGTGATGAGGTTTGTTTATGCTGCCTTTACGAACAGAAAGAGGTACGTCCGCGTCCTTTACATTGGCATGGTTGCTAAGCAATACATCCACTAGAGGGCATCACCTTCTATTGACAACAACAACAACTTCCTACAACAACAGAAGCAAAACAAACAAAAAAAAGGCTGTTGGTCCCAAACACCTGTAACTCGTAAAGTCTCTCCAATAAAAATTTGGACATAGTTGATATTTGATTGATTATGAAGTCTTGGCTCCACACACACACATACACACACGCACACACACACACACACACACACACACACACAGAGAGTAATCTGTGGTTTATAAAGATTTTTTTCCATTTCACAGCATTGGAATATTTAGTATGCAGACAGGGGTGTTTCAAGGGATTTTGTGAGCCCCAGGCAAATGGAAACTGGGGGGCCCTGCACAATTACTGTTGCTGTGGATGAATATAATCAGCTGTTCTCAGTGGGGCCCTCTCCCAGCCCGGGGGCCCCAGTCAGTTCAAGTCTACGCTGCTGCAAAGCCCCTGTGTGCAGATTTTTTCTTCTCCTCACAAAGTTCAGTTGAAAGCATAAGTGAACAGAACGAAGGATTATTTTTATGTAAATGATCAAAATTATTCAGATCAAACAAACAGACTTGATGGTTTCAGCTCTTTGGTAACGAACCTCCTGGAGTCATGAGATGAACTGGGTTTTCTCTTTTGACCCTCAGAGACTCACTCTTTATTTGATGTGGGATTAAACATCACACACAATAATGTAACTCGACCTGTACAGTCCGCTCTGTGATATCCCTGTGTTGAAGTGTGTGAAGCCTGTGTGTGAGCTCCATAGGGTCTGGCCAGTTACCAAGGTCTTGCTATGTCCATATGGCTGCATGTCGGTATCTCAGTGCAGAGGAACCCGGATTCAGTGTCCTTGACTTTTTAGAAAGATGTCAGTTAAAGCTGTAAAACAAAAACTTAAGAGATGCAAAAATAGAAACAATCTGTTCATAAACACACAAAGATGGACAACGCAGGGAAACTCTTCGATGCCTCGGAGTTGTTTTATGACCGACTGCTGCAACCAGCCACCAGGTGGCGATATAGATGCTTTGGCTTCACTTGTAGGGGGCTGTCAAGTCGTCCATCTTTATATACTATGATCAAAGATTATTCAGATTTTCTTTATTTTTTAACGAACTTGGTGGAATTTTCCGCTAAGAGGAAGACTAAAGATAAAGGAGAGATGGGAAAATTAGGTTTAATGGTTCTCATGAATAATTGAACAGGGCAGTGTTTTTCAGAGAGAGAGAGAGAGAGAGAAAGAGGAGTGTCCTCCTGTGCTGATGTTTCTCTTGTTTGTGCTTCCTGTGGCGTTGGATGTTTTGCTAACATCAGCAGTTCCCTGCAGTGGCGTATAGTAAATATGATGCACGCAGGACAGAGTAAACATCAGAGAGAAAGAGAGAGTAGATTATATAACACTACGCTCCTCTCCGGCATATTCAGCTCCTCTGCTTTAAAAAAAATCCCCCCCCCTCTATCTCTCTCCCACTCCTCCGGATGAGCAGCAGCAGCAGCAGTGGCGGCAGCAGTAGGGCTCTGAATCCATCGACCCGGACAAGCTGCACCCCTCCTCCCTCTCCTCCGGCTCTCTTCCTGCTCACTCCTCCCTCTCTCCCTCCCTCCATCACTTTTATACCCCCTTGCTCCTTCTCCTCCTCCTCCTCCTCTTCTCTCGGCTGTGGATGCTCTCCTCACTTACAGTATGGACTCAGGAGGGGAAGGAGAAGAGGGCTGGATGGAGGACCAGTGGGAGAAATGGTAGGGCACGTCTT